CGTCTTAAACGATTGAACATATTAAATTATTTTCAAAAATTACATTTTTATTGCACTCAATCGCTAGTTATGTATAGCTACCAAAAATGTGGCATTGTTTGTATTGCTCGACGGAACACAAAAACACTTGATTTTAAAGAAAAATTAAAACTAGTTTTCAACTCATGATAATAATGTGTGGTATATTATTATACTTACGGTTTTCACGTTTTTGTCAAATCAAGAACCAAACACCTTATTGTATATTGGCGGGCGTAGGTTTTCGTTGTATTTTGGCGTTATCGTCCGATAGGTGATGATAACGGTCAATAGAACCAATAATGTACAAATCCGATTTCGGTATATCAACCGCGAACGGTCAACGGTGCACGGAGAAACCTTATGCGAATTATGTATGATGTTATTATTTATATTAATAATTATGTGTAATCATTATTATTATTATTATTTGTCATGTATTATTTGAAGTATAATTGTAGGTGTAGTCTTTTTCAGTTGTTTTCGATGCATATTACAACGTATATACTGTACTGGCTTGCTGCAGCCTGTGCTTACTGCACGCACAATATATTGTTTACGTCGTTCGTTTTTGTTTTCGTGTCCATAGTCGTTTGATGCTCAGCTGGCGGGTCCGATCTCGTTTTCACGCCATATCATATGACGTTACGACATTATCATATAGACCGTTGCTCAAGGACCGCACGATAAATGGCTTGTACATATTTGTGCTGAACCGTCGCGAAATCGTCGTGTTTATAATATTTATTTATTATTTTATTATCTCATTATTGACTGAGAAAAAAAAACCTCCGTTTACAAATTTAAACATGACGAATATTAAAATTCACATTCAATTAATAAAACGAAATACACGTGTGGTGCCTATATGATTTTTCAGCATAATTAACTAAAATTAATGTCCATAGTATTTCTATTATGGCCATCAGTAAATTCTCAGGCGATGATTTTAAGTTTGCCTTAGAAACATTAAGAAACTTTCGTATATTTTCGTATTGTGTCATTATTTATGTGCTAGCAAAGAATGTTGTTTTTTTTTTTGACAAACTGCAGGAGTTTTTGTGGTTGGGGTGGTGAAAAACAGAAAAATCCCTATAACACTTTTCCCATTGATTGGAAAAAACTGCAGCTAATAATTTGGGCAAAATTAAATTTGGTTTTTTATCGTACCTAATTTAAAAAGGAACAATCGCAGACTTGAAATGTGCACTGAATATAATCTTAGCATTAACTTCTAGACAAAATACAATAGTTATTAAGAGAATACATATTTTGATTTTTTTCGATTTTTTTATAGACGTTTGAAATGCAAACATTTAAAAGGTTTTTGGGTTATTATTATATTTACAATATTATCGTTTCAATGTGTAAAAGATTAAAAATTGAATTTAAGGCTTCTCATCATAAGTAACACTGGCTCACACCAAAAAATATCGAAAATACAGTCACATTTTTTGTTTGATTTTTAACTTTCGACTAAAATAAACGGTAATTGGATATTTAAACGAAAAATAAATATTTTTCCCACAGAATAGATTTTAGCTATTTTCTTGCAATAAAAAAATTATTAATCGTGGACAATTTAAGTTTACTAGTTTACATGTTTTTATTTTCTATTCACAACAACGTTGTCAAAATATTTAGACTGTTTTTATACACTCAATTATGCTGTCGACAAAAATTCGTTCAACCCATTAAATCAAGAAAATACTGTAATGATAAACTATCATTAAAAATACCGGTTTATTTTCGCTGTAAATTATCGTTATACTCTCACCCCTATACCTTCTATATGTTATTTTTTACCAAGTCGTAAATAGTCTGTTGTTCGGTGTTGTTGTTGTTGTTGTTGTCTATCGTCGCAGGTACGGCATGTACGCTTAGCATAGCTGGTATATACCGATATAATAGTATATACCGTGGTAGTTGACCTCTAGCCGCGTGTTTACCAGCGCAACTCAATGTCTGTTGTCGGCGACGATGCCAGGTGGTGGTCCGTCTAACTCGTCTAAGAACCGTATAATATAATATTACGTGTTCAGTACAACTGTATACAGCTCGCTACTGTTGTAAAAAAATATCATCTAACACAGTAACACACGACTCGCATCTCGGAACGTTTCGTATCGGTCACACGATGTGACGGTTTGTCTCGCGAGAGGAGCGACGGCGGAGACGTTAACGCCGCCGCTCCGTGTGGATTTCGTTAAATTCGATACGGTCGCAGTTTCGCGCTGCTCGTCATAATATTGTCATAATATGCGCTTACGACGACGACGACGACGACGACACTTGTGGTCATGTGCGTGACGGTCATCACGAGTCACGATAAAATATATATATATCACGATCATAGGTTTAAATTATTATTATGTTATAAATTATAATATACGCTTTAGGTAAACTTGTGTGGTTAGGTGTTTTGATGTGCCAATGTGGTGGTGGTGGTCGGGTGTTTAGTTGTCATTGCGTGTTGGTTTCGCTGTTTATTTTTTAACGCTTCAATTGATTCTATTTTTTTTTTCGTCGTCAACATTTTTGTTGTTGTACAGCAAGAATAACGAGTTCGTATAAAATTGTTTTGTTTTTCGTCCGAGTCTGTATGTATAGTTTTTTATTTTACACTACAGCGTATTATACGCGCCTACTTATAATATTATGTTGTATATTTACTGCTACCATAATAGTTATATAGGATATTTTTATAAAAGTATTATTATGTTTAGAAATTATTGTCCTGATAGTCTAGATATTTATTTTAGATGATTTTATATGACGTGCAAACGTTTGACGTAAAAATATATTCTTCCAAAGCTATAAGGCCTGTTTTTATATTCACATAACTCGACCACCTGGAGTTATATCATAATAAATGTTCACAATTAAAATATTTTTATGATATTGAAATAGTTTGTTTAGGTAATAGATTCGTAAGGCAATATTCACAAGATTTTAAAAATTTACTTTTGAAATGATGTTTTGAAAAACAAAAGCATTTTTTAGTACTATTTAGTTAGACAAAAATATCGTTAGTGTACAACGAGTATTCTGTTGTACGATTTCCGATTTATTCGTTTGTGATTATAAATACCACACCGATATAATTGTATATAGAACAATAACAACCGAACGACAAATACAGTAAACAAACTTAAATTATACAAACGATAATGGTTTGATGGGCGCGTGGAACGTTACATATTTTTTTATCGTCCGAGGGCAATATCGGCCAAGTGTATGAGTGGGTAAGGCTTTTGTGGGTGCGCTGCGTTTGAAATAACAATATTATGTCGCGTGTCTCCCGATCTGAGCTATCGAATTACCGTGGGACGGCCATATACGGCAGTCGGTCGCCGAACACACGATAAACATAATATTTTGAAATGATTATTTCACGAACATGTATATCCCATTACACGTTTTACCACGACACCAGTGTATAGTCTTACCCTTTTACAGATGACGACACGATATGAACCATACATATTTTATGGATACCTGCAATATCGCCTTTATATGCGGGATTTTGTTGGCTGTGTGAGTGCAGGTTCTCTTGTTTTTGGAAATATTTTATTTACACGATTTTTCAGTCACTGTCAACAACGTTTATGGAAAATATCATATTTTTCTATTACCGGATCGTTATTACTTTTTTGATACACTGCATAAATTATTACAATTTTAATTTCATATAATATATTATAATATTCCGAAGGCAAATTTTTTCATGACAATTTATAACTACAACTTTTGTAAAAACCCTCTATAATAACTTTGAAGGAACCAAGAGTTTTCTTTCGTTATAGAGAGTTTTTGTTGTAATTTTATAGGTATGTATTTAAGGTTTGGATGGATGAAGTGGTGTGGAATGGTTCATAAAGGTTTTCTGCAAAATATTTGTCCATAAACTGTTTAGGACTAATCCGCTCGTCTAAACCTAAAAAGCTACCTCCTACCTAATAAATACTAAAAAACTTATTTTTTTTGAAATCCGATATTTATATTTTGAAACTTTTTAGAAAAATATTGTGCTCTGAAATATGTATTTAAAAAATCGTTAAATATACATTATATATTATGTACCTGTGGTGTGATATATATATCATAATTGTGGAAAGACAATACGAATTTCGTCATAGTCGTACCTATTTTGTATTAAATCATTTGTTATTTGGAAATAAGATATTTTTTTGAGTAGCTTTTAAAGAAATCAGTTAAAAAATAAACACCGAAGATCGATCGGATTCAAAAGTACTTACCTACTTATATTGTAGATATTTTTGCGCACACTGTTACCTCAGGTATTATAATTCTCTCTCTCTTTAGTTCACCAGTTGTTGGCTCACACATCGCCGTTTACGAATCAATGTTCTGAATTAATTATTCGGTAGAGAAACTGAATTAATTATTCGGTAGAGAAACTGAATTAATTATTCGGTAGAGAAAAACAACTTGTTTTTGTCATAATATAGGAGATTTTTAAAACTCTAACGATTGCATTTTTATTTAACATCTTAAACATTTGCATTCGATTTAACATGCAGAAAATAATCACCCTGAAAAATGTGGTGCGTTGTGACATTTTCCTCACATAACACTATAACAACCAAAATCAATCAATACCTCCAACGCCAATACCAGTCATATTATAAATTTGGCCAATATTAACATTTGGATAGCGGTATTTCATAAAAGTTTATCGCAGTCCATGGGAGGTAATGTACAATTCATCTTTCGTTGATGGTAAAATAATGACGGCACATGACCACACGGTGGGAAATTTTTTATTGAACTTAATTTCTATCCGAATCTATTTGAGATATCAAAGCTTCTTTTAGCCAATTTCGTGCATAAGTGGCGGCGGTTTGTCGATACTCCGGTCGGGGAACTGTGTTACACTGTAAATTACGAATTTCAATGCATTTCTGCTTAGGAGTTTCAAAAATGTAAAACATAACCAATGTATTTGTTCCCATTTCCAGAATCTTGGGTGGATATCGGGAGCTGCACATCGCCGATATCTTTCCAGAGCGCCGACCGTGTCACTCCAGTGCCGTTCATATCGTCCGGCGAAGAGTACCTGAGACTGTTGAAAGAGGCACAAAGGGAGAGTAACTCTTCGTCCAGAGTTTTGTCCAAAGAATCGTCCATTAAGGGCAGGTAATGATAGTGTCTCGTGTTTCTCTATACATTATATTCGTTCGTTTCAGTAGATTTTTGTTAATCCTTCAATTCTAACCGACTGTTTTATTCTTATTTTTCAGTCCCAAATCACCGCCAAACAGTCCAAATAATGAATTGGAAGACGATCTCAAGGGAGTGTACATAAACTATTCGAACAGAGTAAGTATTGTCAAATAGAACTTGCGGATAAAACATTTACTCAATTTTTAGGTTAAGAAACTAATTCGGTTCTAATTATTAATATGTGTTATAATGTCTTTTTTCCATGTAGAGATAACAATTTTCAAAATTGTTCCTAAAATGTCAATTACAGTTAATTGTTGTATGGAAATTATAGGCTGTAATTAGAAGTGAAATATAATAAAAACTGTTAAAATATTGTACAATTCACTTATATTATTATTGCCACTTAGGAAACAACATTGACATTTTCAGCGAAGGAAAAAGACATGTTTAAAAAATATTGATTATTTTGTTTATTTGTAATGCCAAATGATTCACTTTTATACTTCAGTCATGTGTGTTAATTAAATGATTCACAATTACTGCTAATTCAGATAATACAATGGCAACACCTTTTTTTTATCAAGCTGCCATACATAATAAACAATAGGTTTAAAGCAGTTTGTAGAATATAACGTTTTTAGTTTATGATAATTTCAAATCTATTTTATATGTCAATAGGTTATCTACATTCTTTTAGATGAATAGTAATTATTTAAGTTTATAGATACTAACCCTAAATGGTACCTCCATCAATGATAAACTTGAACATATTGTATAAACTGCATTGTAAGACAATGACTGAAAAAAAAAATGCAAATGGTTTTAGTTTAAAATTATAACTGGTTAAAGAATACATAATAATATATGTAATTGATTTTACAGGGTGGAGAATTGTACAACTTGGACAAGAGTACTGATTGGATTTGGGATTGGAGTAGCCGACCAGACCAGGCACCTCCCAAGTAATTATATATAATTATATATATATATTACTGATAGGATCTGAAGATTTGATAATTTTTTGTAATTATTTAAAGTATATAATATGTGGCAATATATACTTTTGTTCGTATACAAGTGGAAGAAGTAAGAAATTGTATCTAGGTTAAATTGTTTAGAGTAGTAATAAAGATAACTAAATCATTTAAAATATTAAGTGCGTACTAAATTTGTATGTTAAAATTATAAATTTAATCAAAATAATATTCAATATTCCATCTTTTGTCTAATATTTATTTATGCATATGCATTTGAACAACAGTCATTCCAAAATGTGATCTAAAAATTATCTTACAATGTGTGTAATTCGTACATTTATTGATTGTTTTTAATTTTCACTTTAACTATGACAATACAATTAATGATTATTAATTTTTTTAAAACTGACGTTAATAATTGTAAATATACATAGTTGTTTTCGTGTATTATTTTTATTTTATTCATACTTTTAAATAAAATTAGCCATTTTAGGACATGTGATATTTTTTTACTAGCCCTATTGTAGAAGCTTTTGTGTGTAGTTAAAAAATAAAAGATTAATAAATTGTGTAGTGTACCAAACAAAATAAATACAGGACCATTACTGTTTTTATTACAAAATAACTATTTGCATCCACTAAAAATTTAAAAAATCGTTCATTTAATTTAAACCAAATTATCATATTTTAACTATTTTTTGAAACTTATTAATAAAAAAATTTTTGTTTTTGTAGAAACTGGAAATTCATTCATCCCAAGAAGAAGACATACAGTATGCGCAATGCTAAGGTCGGCAAAGACGGCCTCTTTTCCAAAGAAGTTTTGTACACTTTGTTCCTGACCAATATTTTATCCATACTGCTGGGAGCTGGCGTTGGGTACGGCACTTTATTATAATATTATAATTTGTGTATCATTAATTTATACATTTTTTTTTATGTTTAGCGCTTGGTTATGTAAACGAGGCGGTATTATGATGTCTAGAGTGACTTTGGAATAATCAGTCTGTGGAACGTAACATAATATGCACATGCACAAAAAAAAAAAAACAAGAATAAATGGTGTCAATTCATTGTCTTTTTAAGTCTGAAATTCAAAAATGCATGTTACATTATTTTCAAAAACAACCCTCAAAATATTCCTTTTTGTAATATTATATTTATAATGTAGCTTAAGTTTTTATTAACTTTAAGATGGTTATTATTAATTTGACACGTTAGATTAGGAAATATGTCTAATATTTACTATTATAATATACAATTTAATCAACCTACAAGTTTTCAGATATATTTTGTTAGGTACTCTTGATTATATTAAACCTCTAAAATTTAGAAATGTCTCTTATTATCAATATAAACTTGAAAAGTTCCAGTCTCTCTGGTCTCTGGTCGAATTAAAAGTCATGTGCGAATGTACTCAAATAATCTTATATTTTTAATGTTATTAAATATGATAATTATTATAATAATTACAACAATAACAAAATCAACTTTATTCTTATATCAATCTTATTGAACTAGAATTTATGTTCCTCTTAATAAACTAATTGTTTTTTAAATTATCAATCAAACCAGTAAGCTTTAAACTCTTGAGGAAGAAAATAAGGAGCGGGACAAACATTTTTGAGTTAAATTATTAAACAAAAAGTATAAATACAAACTTTTAGTGACTATGTGAGATTATAATTTTAGTACCGTTGTGATAAGTCTGTTCAATTTTTTTTTATTGTTTATTATTTTTTTTATATATAAAATATATATTATCTTCTATATGATATTTTGTGTATGTAAATCTTAAAAGAACACAATTTTGTTGTATGTTTTATAATAATTAAGTTAGATTTTTCTATTTTTACATTAGCCAGTACACTTCATAGTCGGCCAATGTGTCACTTTGTAAGGTAGCCTCGTGTTGAATGAGGACCTGGCTCATCCTTTTGTGTTATCCAAATGACGAGCTCATATTGCTGTTATTAAATACTTTTTTTTTATTATTAATTAGTTGCTTAATGTAACATTAAGTTAATATAGATTTAGAGAATAAAAAAAAAAATTAACCTTGTGTAACGTATTTACCTTTCACATATTTTTAAGAATATATATTTACATATAAAATGTAAATTATATCACATGTATGGTTTTTTTTTCAATAAACGTGAAAATATCTATTACCTGTTTTTTTTTTTTAGTTATATTCTTATGTTATTTGAAACATATTTTACTGAATGCCTTACATTTTTTTCATATTTAAATTTCAATTATTTTTTACCATTCAATTTTGTTATGTGTTTTTAAAGTTTTGATATTATTTCTTACCTATAGACAAATTGTAATTTCCTATTATTAATATCCGTCAAAGGCATTGGCATGACTGCATGGGAAGTCAGGATGGCACCAGTTTCCCTCCGATTTAATATGAATACTACCATAATTATGAATCATTAAATTTAATCCAACAAAATGTTATTTATAAAACTATTTTAAGTTTGAAAAATTATAATAAATATTCTGGCCTAATAAAAGAGCTATTTTTAAAGCATTAAAAAAAATATCTTTCTTGTAGATATAATACTATCAATTGTTCTTTTATAAAAATACAACAATACTATTGAGAGAGGGGTTGATTTATATTGTGGTTACAAGTGTATGTGAGTAGGGGGGGTCGCTAATTTATACAGTTATATTTTTATTACATCTAAAGGCATGATAAGTGTTGTGATATTTGGTGTAGTAACCTGTTCATAAAATCATTAGTAGTTTGAAATAGTTAGAAATTTGCACACAACTACCTGTTTGATAAATAAATTACGATGTATATTGTTATACTCGTGTCAATACGTTTACCTAAATGTTTACGCTCCAATTTAGTGGGTCCATTAATATAGGAAATATCTATGAACTAATATGAGAACTTAATATTCTGTATTGCACCCTCGTTGCCAATTAATGTGCATCTGGTTATAAAGTTATACCGAACTAACTACCTATATTCATTCAACATTTAATTTTTATCTGTTTACATATTAAATTCTCAGAACAATATTCAGCTTCTGAATGAATTTAATAAAATATGTAGATATATGCTGTTATCGAAAAAATGAAAACTTAAAAATTATAGCGATACAATTCTTGGAATAACTTAAATATTTCAAAATTCCGTCCCGTTGTCCCGACATAAGTGTTCTGGACACTAAAATGTCAATATTTTCAAAATATGTAAAAAAAAATTACTTAAAATTAAAAGTATATAATACCCCCCAAATATAAGAGGATATCTGGCCACCCAAATCATTCACTATTGGTCGGTTTAAAAGTTTTAAATGGCGCTGTGGATAGGCAATTTAGTGGCATTCCTGTGTATGAAACAAAATAAGTGTATCATAAATGTAGCAATTCTTAAGGTTGATAAAAAAAAACTTAATTATGTTGAAACGTTATATAGTGTTATTTAAACAAAAATTAAAAAAGACACAATCGTTCTTATTTACAACGAAATAATTAAAAAAATTAAGTGTCGATGAGGGAGCCTCCAGACCCCAGTGGGCTGAGAGTGGACTTCGGTCCACGGCGACCCAGTCGTTGCAATTATAAAAGTCGCGTCTGTAGGTGGGTTGAACCTCAAAAGTCAGAGGTGATAAGGATTTGTGATAAGGTGCTTTGGAGCGTATCGTTTCGAAGGCCAGAACGTAGGAAAATTGAAAAGTATCAGAAAAAAATGCAAACATTTCTAGCGGTGTAAAAAAAAAAATTTTTTTTTTAATTTTTCAAATTTTTTTTTCATCTTTTTCTAGATAAATAAATAATTCAGTTATCTTTATCTTTATCTAGATAACACAATTATAATTTATCTGGACTCAACACTAGTTATTTATAGTGTAATTCTAAAATAAAGATATCTTGAATACAACATGTATAGTTTTATATTACTGAAGAATGATAGCTGTTCTTTGACGAAGTTTATTTATTGAAAGATATCAGAATTTTTGTAAAGTTTAAATATTTAATTATAAGATGATAAATGACACTTAATTGGAAATCTAGTCTGGATGATTAATTTCCTAAAATCTAAGTTCAATTATCTTAATGATAATATAGATCCAACTACCCAACTATAAATACCATAATAAACTATTTATTATTTCATTAACTTTAATCCGTTTAATACAGTTTTGTGATTTTTAAGCAGTGATTGAATTAGAAATAAACTAGGAGGGAATGCAAAGTATAAAAAAATGTTTTTTAAATTTATTTTTTCTTATTTTTGTATCGCTTAAGTTTTAATGTAGAACATATTAATAATAGTAATATACAACAAAATTTACAAACTTATAAAAGGATTTTGTAGTGTAACCTCTATAATAATAAAATACGAAATAATACTATAATGATTAGCGGTAATAGTATTATAGTATCAATGTGAATTATTTATGTTTAAAAAAATAATTAGATAAATATTTTTTCAGAAAATAGACTAGTCAACTATATATCATAAACAAAATCCATTAATTAGAACTGCAACTCATGGATAATGGGAAGAATGCAAGCAAAACATATTAAACATTTAAATGGAAAATTTTAACTTTTTCTTAATAAATATAAAAAAATCGAAGTACGAAAAATGCTTAGTCCCTACGATAATTTTGACTATAATATAATGATTATTAAAAAGATATTATATTATATTCTCAGAGTAATAATAATATTGATTCTATTGCATATTCTCCGAGTGCGTAATAATTATAAATGTTAAATACCTATAGTGTCGAAATAAGATCAAGGTCGCTCAAGAGCTGTACGCGTGAATTATTTAGAGCTGTCTCCGACTCCGAGCAATTGTTGGAAGTATTATAATAATACCCTAAGTACAAGATAATTTCGAATACGATCATCAGGCTGGCAACATGGTGCCAGACGAAAATACAAACGATCAACTGCCTTGTTTGTGTAAAATGTACACATGACGCCTGACAAGTGACAATAGATGAGAACCCCGTCTAGCAGGTTACACGTCGGAAATAGAAGGACAAGATATTTTTGTAAGATGTCCGTTGGGCATTACCGTACCAGACGCAATTTCCAGACGGAAAGTTTACACCCATAAAACGAATTACCCGTATAAACCAGTGGAGTATCGACGACAAAAAATTAGGGAACACGAAATACAAAGACTGTGCGCATAACGCGAAGTGAGTACGAATAACACGGCTCAAAAGTTTAAATTGAAAATGCATCTATAGCTCGATTTAGGTATAGGAATAGCGGATTTAGGGCTCATGGCGAAACCACCATTAAAAAATCTCGCTATAGCGTAATATACCTCAGCGCTGGTGTGATATAAATAAATTCGACTACGAATGACTTGGACGTTGAGAATTAAATAGCTGCTACCAAAATTTTTGGGGAAATCAGTATCTCTGAAGAGAAAAAATAGCAAAATTAAAGGTTGTCAGGTGTGGGGTTCGAACCCACGCTCCCGTTTGGGAACCAGAGCTTAAATCTGGCGCCTTAGACCGCTCGGCCAACCTGACGTATACAAGCCTTTGCTGAAAATCATCAATATTCTATCAGTTCAATATGAATATTTTTTTTTTCATTCATAATATTTTATTTTGATCTTAAAAATGAATAATTATACGTTTTATGGTCTGTATAGCAGAGAGGTTACCAATTCCGACACAATATTTTCGGATTTTTTATGAGCTCCCTTTATATCTTGATTCTCGGTCTCGGTAGAACGTGGGAACGCTTTTGTATTTTTCGTCCAGTTTAATAGTGCTCTGGGCTAACAAACATCTTGGGTGTATTTTATATTCAACAATTTGTTTTTTTTTATTTGTAAACTGAGCCACAAATGATATCGACCTATCCGACGAAAATCAACTGCACAACAAAGTCGAGAGATGTACAAATGGTCAGAAACAATCGATACCGTCGCCCGTAAGTATATCCTAGAGCAGCGATTCTCAACCGGGGGGTCGCCAACAATTATTTTAGGGTCGTCGATCCACGTGGGAAACAAATTGTTTCACTTAGAATCTTATAATTAATAGTAAGTGTTATAATACCTATATATATATATTTGGATAGTCCGATAGTCGATAAAAACGTTCATTGAAGTGTACATAATATACCTTTTTTTGTGAAATGTATACACGAATAAATACAATAATAACAGTTGGTTAAATTGTTTAATGCTTACATTATAAAAGGGTCGTTGGACATCTTGGTGACATTATAGGGGATCGCGAACTCAAAAAGGTTGAGAGCCGCTGTCCTAGAGTCTAGAAGCAGTTTATGTGCATTTTTCACAGCCCGACAAAGATAAACTATTACATGCAAGATTTACAGAAATCCATGCAATTAAAATCACTATCCATTTCTAAATTATCTGAAGCCCGGTGGTCGTGTCGTCTAAAAAATTGTAAAGCAATACATCATAGTTTTTGTGTAATATTAAATATTTTACAAAATTAAATAAATAAAGATACGAACAAAGAAGTGGCTCAAGCAATTGGTAATAATTTAATAAATTACAAGTATTTTATATTAATATAATATGTATACTATAATGCAGGACTGCATGCGTATAGTATAACCATAAGACATTTTGTTCAAAGGTCTTCTGCACATGTTAAAAGAAATGTCATTCGTATTATATTGGTTCATTTTTGAAGAAGTCTTAGTAATAATAAATACATTGAGTACAAAATTGCGAAAAGGAGACGGTACGATTGGAAATGCTGTTTTTGAAATTAGTGCTTTGATAATAACAATTCTAGGTTCGATCGAGTCACAAAACAGACCTAGTTCAAATGTCTAGTTGCGCCAATGTGCTTGGGTAACCAAATGACGAATCAGACACAGTCAAAATTTATTTATTTTTATTTGTCATAAGGTGCAAACGACAAACGTCATACAAAGTAAATGACAATAGACAAAATATTACATTTATGATTTACCATTGTGATACTTTGAACTATTTATTTTTGCTAAGTAATTAATAAATGACAGTTATTATATTTCATGCTGTACTTATATGATTTTATATTTTTCTTTTTCTTTCATTCAAATGTGGCCAACACCACATCATAATCAATTTGTAAATAGTTTTCTAACTTCCAATACTTAAGACTGTATAACTACAGGCCCATGAAAAATTACGGATAAATCCCTGCTTCGCCCCCGCCCCAGTTCTACCTCTGAACTGGAACTTATTTTCTGATCCATCTTTTCTGAAACTCTCGAGCTACGGTCAAAATTATAATTCACGAGGCGCTGAAAACCCTTACTGAATTAGTGAATCATCCAAATATAGCAGGTCCTCTAACGCTGTCGTTACATAACAGAATTAAAAACTACAATTTTTTAAGGAGAATATTATGTGGTGACTTACCGCCGTGTCCAATACCGCCTTTCGGGGGGGGGGGGGGGCAGCGCTATTTACAATAACGGTATCCATCACCCGACTCTTACTGTCCCGCGGTAAATTCTGGTGTACCGGGACACGTACCATGCAGTGTCACGGACGTTTCTATCCGTGGTATCTCATAGATCGCCCACGTGCTGCGATGTGCACCACTTCCGGTACGTCTACTGCAGTTTCACATGAGATTTTCCGCCGCCCGTCCGCAGTCCGGTCGAAAATCGTCTATAGAGGAGTCCGCACGGTATACACTCGGTCTTCTGCAGTTTCCTTCGCTCCGTCTTATTTATATCCATCGCTGCCGTCTTCAGACTGGACTATTATTCATATGACAATATCGTGCCGATAGCATCCTGGTCCAGACGTCCGCGGTGTTAAGACTCAAACGTCAGGATAATAGACTACAATATGGCGTCCGACTGTAATGTGTACATGCTCTATTGAGTCCATTCGAATACCTCCTAGACAACGAGTGACGACATTGGATAATTTTCAAACCATGCCGGCCAGCTGCCCAGGTTTAATACAGTGTATTGGACACACTGACATATTATATTATTATGTCAATGGTTGGACACGTATTACGACGACGATGACATGAATAATTACAGTGGATTTTTTTATTGCCGAAGAGCATCGATACACGTAGATTACATATAATTAAATATTATTATTATATTTTTTATCACGGATGTGATTTAAAAAAACAAATCAGGTTTTTGATTTTTAAACACGTGTTTAGAACACTTTTAAATCACAGCTGTGTCCGTCTGTTATTAGTATTACCAGTAGGTACATACAATATATGGCTACGATTGTTCAGATATCTTATATCGTTGATTTGTATTTATTATTGTCCAGTACATATAACTGCACATATAGTAACGATTGTATTGGAAATATATCAATGCCGGGTTTCGTGCAAAATGTATTGATTTGATGGTCCAATTATATGGGTCACTAAATCATGTTTAAGGGACCATTAACTCACTATTGATTCGTAAAATGTTTAGTGATCGTAGAAAATTCCATACGCCGCACCTGCAACATACTAGATCGAATGATGTACACATTTGTAATGTTGAATATTTAATCTATATGGAAACAGCTGCAATCAAAATTCAAAGCGATAAGGCTCTATGGTTGACATTTTGAAAATAAAACACAATAATATCGTATACGGTAAACGGACAATTCTCAGTGTAATGTTTATGAACAAATTATAAGCTTCTTAATTATCCTCTTTCCAGGCTGACCACCTGACTGTAACCGGGGATTATCACATCCATACATTATTTCATATGAGGGGTGAGGTAATAATCACTCGAGTAGTGGACGTAATAAATCTTAAACACTAAATGTAAAAATCACCTAATGTATAGGTGTACACACATTTTTTGTATTAGATTTTTAGAGCATATATTTTGTAATTTTTTTACAAACCATCTGCATGCATATTTGTATATTTTTAGAGCTACTGGTTTTAACGAATGCATTGTGTATTATTTAATATCCAATCTTACTTACAAAACATATTTTAAGAAAACAGAAGTTTTATTTGTATATTGAATACAATATATTTTTTTTGTAATATTTTGTGAACATAGTTAACCTCAAATAGCATAGAAATATACAAATTGTTATAAAAATATTAAATACAATATTCATTGATTTTATAATAATTATTAATTGCTGCAATCTGCGTGTATCACTAATTATTATTAACAAAAAGTAGATCAAATATTTTATCAAACCATATTTTGTATTCAATTGATTCGCTGCCCTTATTTAATCACATTTAAGATGAATTTTGATACTACGAGACCTCAATCTAATATTGTAGTGTATTTTAACATTGATAATAATGACGATTTTGTTTGATAAAGTACCCTTGTTCTTTATGTTTAATGTATAATATTTTTAATTAGTCAACAAAAAATGATAACATAATTTATTAATTAATTTTACAATGACTATTTATTATGTTCTAAGTAGGTAGGCATAATTGTATTTGTTTGTTTGTTAGCAGCGTTAAACAATATTTATAATTTGAGATTTGAATTCGTACATTATACACAGTCGATTTAAGCAAAGTATTAATTGGTGTTCACCTAAAATTATAATTTTTTTTTAAATCTTAAATCATTATGACGGGTTTGAACGCAATACGATTACATAACATGGTCAAACAACGGATAATATTAGAAACAAATATTTTTTGCTACCTACCATCAACTAATCGTTAATATTATGTTATATAGAGGCGAAATCCTACGAAAAAAAAAAACACAAATTCTAAATAGTAAAGAAAATATTTATAAACAGTTTATATACATTCCTATTTCCAAGAAAGCAATAACAATGAAAAAACGTTTCTAGAAAATATATAATATCTTTTTACATTTTCAAACCGTTATCGTCAATTAATAAAACATCGATGATTACCATTAAAATATTAAGACATTCAAAATGTGGAATGCCATTTATTCATGATACTGAAATGGTGTTGCAGTATATATTATTATACGCAGAGGTTGTGACTTTAAAAATTGGAATGGGGTAAAATGAAATGCCTATACAGCACATAGGCAGATTAATTGCAAAAAAAATTAAAAACAAATAACAATACAGGCAAAATAACAGTACAAAACTAATATGGGAAATAATAATTTTTGTACAGGATTAAAAAAAAAGAAATAATAATAATAATGATAATAATATAAATATAAATAATTGTGTTAGTAAAGAAAAACGAATATAATATTATTGTGTTTAAGGTATTGGCTATTTAGTGAGGGATGACGGAGTTAGAAACATATATATATATAATATTATAATATGATAAAATATGGGTAGGCGGACAGCAGTAATCGACAGCATCATATCGAGGTCGGGTAAATTCGTCGGTTGTACACTATTCTTACGTTATCTATTGCTCCATTATATAATATATATTGCACAATATAACACCGACGGCGGCGTGATCGTATCTCGTTATTTATGCATCATAATTATTAATCGTCGAACAAAATAATAATCTCATCGAAACCGATCCGTCGCCGTCGCCGATCGCGCGTCGCATTTTTGTTATTTTTTTTTTTACAGTTTCGATCCGACGCGACGTCGCCGGCGGTCTACCCGAACAGCTTCTCGAAACACGAGTGGCAGTACGGTTTCTCGTTTTGTTCTTTGAACGTTCCCTTGTTGAGCTGTTTCAGGCAAAAGGCGCACACGAAATGCTCAGGGTGGAACTTCTTGAACATGGCCGTGATGCAACGGCCCGCGATCGGCTTGTGGCATCCGGCGCACAGCGACCCTCGCTTGGCGTGATAGTGCGTCTCGCAGTAGGGCTGGCTCTCGTGGTCGAAGAACTGACCACTGACGAACGGCATACGGCAGTCCTGCGAACACACCCAGAATATGATATTATATACACTATATATATATATATATATATATATATATGATATGACGGGTAAGTGCGAGTGGGCTGATGGTACGATGGGTAGGTAGATCGTAGACCGTCGTCGTCGCGACACCGCAACGGTCAATCAGTTGTGACGGGCAGGCACGGATCCAGAACACTGATCTGTGTGTGTGTGTGTGCGTGTGTGTGTGTGTGTGTGTGTGTGTGT